AACAGTGAGCCAGTCGGCTCGCTCGCTTCGGTCACAAAACCAGGCGCTAGCACGATTTATACCGAACCCAGAACGACAACCACAACAGCAAGTCACGCACAAGAAGAGACGGATCACCGAGCCGGCCGACGTTATGGAGGAGGACCAGGAGTGGGAGCAGCAGCAGTCACCTGGTATTGTCACAGAAGTGGAAGAAGAATTCCACGATGCTTCAGAGCATAGCGATACTACCGAGACTGAAACCGATACCAACCTCACCATCTTGTCGTAATGAGTTACTTCCAAGTGATTCAATACAACGCACACAACGCCTACCCAGTCATGGCCTCGATCTTAACGGACAAAGCAGTCCAGAAAGCTGAAGTGATCGCGGTCCAGGAACCATGGATCAACTCTCAATCGGCGATAACCCACCACCCGAACAAAGCCACCCACCGACTAGTTTTCCCGAAACTAGAAGAACGAGCTAGGGTCTGCCTATTCGTGTCGAAACGGATCGACCCAGGAATCTGGTCATGCAAGACGGTGTCGAAAGGATACCAACTCCTAAAACTAAGGAGGAACCACCACCACCAGGGTGGGTGGACCGACCTCTTCGTGCACAACATCTACAACAACAACGACGACGAGACCATAAAACAGCTAGGTGAGGAACTGGCTCAGAGACTGTATGCTGAGCATATCGTGGTAGGCGACATGAACCTCCACCACCCAATCTGGGGAGGGGACAGTGTTAAAGCTGAAGCTGCTGCCGAGCAGCTACTCGATACTCTCGGGAAGCACAATCTGGGGATAACGACGGAGCAGGGGACGGCGACGTGGCGGCGCAATAAGCAGGCATCTGTCATTGATCTCACTTTCGTTAGTGGTTCACTGATTGAGAGAGTGGTTGAATGTAGGGTTGTGGATTGGATCACTACCCGGTTGTAACGACAATTGACATCGTGACGCCACCGTACGAACCACCAAAGAGAAGGAACTGGAAGGCCACAGACAATAAGAGGCTGATAGAATTCGTCGAACAACATATCAGCCAACTCACCACCACCACCGCCACCGCCACCGCCACCGACACATCCAACCCCAGAAGCCTCACAACTGCTAACGATGTGGAAGCCAAGTGCCAGGCATTCATGAAAATCATCAATGATGCAGTCGATATCTCCACACCGTGGGCGATCCCTTCGCAGTGGGCGAATCCTAGTTTCACACCGGAGTGCCAGGAAGCAGTCAAAGAAGTCCGACGACTCCGCCGTCGACATGAACGCACAGGTGACCCATACGACAAAGAGCTATACAAAGCAGCAAGAAACCAGAAGAACCGGCTGATCAAGACCGCCCTCTGTCGATACCACCGCCGGAAGGTACAGGAGGTTATCGAGGAAGGGCCTGGCGGCATGTGGAGGATGAGCAAATGGGCGAGAAACCGGCAGGGGGCGTATGACCAGGGGGTCACGCCGTCGATCAAGATACTAGGGACGGAGGACCTCGCAGAAACGGTCGAGGAGAAGGCAGCTACATTCCAACAAGCCTTCTTCCCAGTGCCACCACCGGCAGATCTCTCTGACATCGATCCGACAGAGATCAATCGAAGACCGATCCACTTCCCAGAGATCACACACCAAGAGATCACACAAGCAGTCAAAGCCTCACCACCAGACAAAGCGCCAGGAGAGGACGGCCTTCCGAACTCACTGTGGCATAAGCTTATTGAGATCCCGGCAGTACTTGACACTATCTCTGGGATTTACAACGCCTGTATACGGCTCGGTACCAACCCGTCACACTTCCAGAAATCAATCACTGTGGTACTACGTAAGACTGGTAAGCGTGATTACCAGCTTGCGAAGTCCTACCGACCAGTTGCACTCCTTAACAAACTCAGCAAATTCCTTGAGGCAGTTATTGCACGAAGAATTAGCTACGCGGTGGAAACCCACAAATTACTCCCGGATACACATCTTGGAGGAAGAAAAGGATCTCAGTGGATCATGCCATTCAGCAAATCATCGGCCGGGTGCGGAGAGCATGGGGCAATAGCAAGATAGCCAGTATGCTACTACTCGACGTCTCCGGAGCGTACGATAACGTCTCTCACGAAAGGTTAATCCATAACCATTACAAAAGGGGACTCGGTCAGCTCGTACCATGGGTG